TCGTTTAAAAAATCCTTCTCCGCTGACATTAACACGAAGGCTTCTAGATTTTCTTGCGAGATACTTATAAGTATCTTAGCCTGCTTTTAATTAATTAATTTTAATATAAAAAAGCTTTGTTCACCGGACACTTGTGTTACAGACATAGAGAGCAGGTATTTGTATGCTCGGCCATGTATGGAATAAGCGCCATTAAACATGTTATATCTGAATAATATATTATAACAACAAATAAAGCAATTTTTCAAGCAATGCAGTAAGAGGATAAAATCGCGTCTTTATTAGTTTCTACTTGATCATCAGTCAAATGTTCATTTTTCGTTTAATTTTACAAAAGTTTCATTGACATTTTCCTTTAAAATATTCCATGACGATTTAAAATGTTGCAATTCTGAAATAATATTGTGTTGAGTAGCTACTGGATTAAACTGTATTAGAATACTGCTTGATTTTTGAAATGCGTTTTCAGGAATATTTAGTGACTGTCCCGTAAATTTTTGTCTGATGTGCTTTGAACTCGCTGTAAGGCGACAGTCAAACTTTTCCCGGTTGCTCTCTCTCCCACTTTCCCTGATCTATATCGAAGACGTGTGAATTTGGTCCGGGAATGCGACAATTAAATCGTCTTACACTCGTTCTTGTTTACGAAATAAATCACCGATTTAGTAGCTTTAGCTCGACAACCAGTTTCCTATTGGAGAGGGGGAGAAGTCCCGGCCTCACGCATCACAAAATAGATTATTTTTAATTAAAATCGTTTCGAATATAGAAAAATTATTATTGTATAACATTTTTTCCATAACTAAAACAAAGAAAATAATATAAGTGGCCATTGAATTTTGTTATGACCACAATCATGGCTTTGGTGGCTAGGTACAAAACTAATAACTCGCATTTCTATAGTTTAGCATTAAGATTCACAAGAGTGATGAATAGTTTCTAGCAATGTAAACAAATGACTAATTTTCTTTGTTTAGAAGGTAGTTTTGATTATTTTTCTCCTAGGATGCTTTCTGTTTGGACTAATGTAGTGTTTGACTCAGATCCGCCGAACTATTTTATAATTTAACTTCGAATACGGGTAGGGCCGGGTAAAATGATACAGGCCTACACATATACCTACATTATACACCTTACTTAACAAAAAATACATGAATATTTTTAAATTAAATTTAACCAAACGGTACATTATGTACATATTTAGGAAAAACGGCCCAAATTGTATACGGCCCGTGTTAAATTTTCCTCTTTTTCCATATGGCCAGTCCGCCCGTCTGCCAGTAAGCGAGGGTTTATAACGTGTCACTGTGAAAGATACCGTAATGATAAAAAATGCAAACGTCGCTCAAAGAACATAAAATGCAACTCTAAATGTCACGGTAATAGTTCATGTGAAAATAAATAACTCTGCAACATTCTCAATTCTCATATAAAACGCTAATTTATTAGTAAAAGATCTTGACAAAGTAATTACTATTAATAAATTAGTTGTTAGAAATTTGACTTCTCGAGCACCGCAACAGATTTTCATGAATATTTAAATGCTGTTGAAAAGTAACCAAATTACATTTTTGTACGCCGTAAATAATTTTCTTACTTGCTTAAATAAGAGGATGAAAGATAAATAAATCATAACGAAAAAGAAATTTGTAATTTCTTATTATCACCTCATTATTAGTTGACATCTAGATCTTGCGGTGGCTTTTAAACGTAATAAATCCGTTGCACAGTGGTTTTTAACTTTAGCAGCTGATTTTTGTCATCGTGAAGGGTACTGTGAAGACCACCACTTTCCCTTCCCCAAAAATATCTATCTACATATACATATTTGTAAACTTACTTGTAATAATTTTTGTTTATTTACTTTATATCCTTTTTAATTATGTATTCGCGTGAACCTTAATTGTATCTTGAATAACAACCGAAGTTGTAGGAGGAAATTCGCCTATGCTACCAATCTAGGGACCACCCCTTTTCCAAATTTTAATATCAACTTAAATTAATTAGAATGAAACGGTTTATTATCCAACTATCAGAAATTTCACAACATGCCAAAGAGGAAGGAGCAACCAAATAATCAAAAATTATAAAAGATATCTATAGAAATGGGGAACATTGCTTTCCCTTGTTTTCGGCAATGTTTACATATTAAATGAAGAACTGTCAAAGCAATCGACAAACAATGATCAGTCATGTCATCTCAGATATGACTATAAAAGCTCGACGTCATCACCAAATAAGAAAACACTACTTCAGCTACAATGATGACACTGCCAATGAATCATCACCGGATGATGAACTTTCTCATGCAGGAAGTGTTTAAAAAGAGAGCTCCAACCAGAAAAAGACAGTTAAGTTGCAAACGCTGTCACAGAAAGAGTTGTTGCAGAACGAGTTGGAGTCACAGTCACAATCAGACAACAGACAGACAGCAAGAGTGAGAGTTATTCAGTAAGTGTCTCTAAAAGTAATTTATTTCTAAGCTTTCTATTACTAAAAATATGATAATTTCGGAATGTTTTACTGATATTCAATTATAGGTTTAAGAAATCAGAACATACTTACATAAGAACAATCCAAGAAGCAATGGATCTGTATCGAGTTGGAAAACATTACGGCGCCGTGGACACCGCATCTATTTGCAATGCAAATATTTTATCAAACATTAACTTCAGTAACATTTTTGTTATTTACGAATTCGCCTGGACAAGGAAGTACTTCAACACAATGTACGAGTGTTGGAAATGGTTCGACCATAAAGGAAGTGAAATATTTGGAAGAACCGAGTATTTACAATGCAGCGAAGTCACAATAATCACTCTTCTCTCCCGTCCGATATACGGCAAGTTAAAAGAATCCGATTTGTTCAACATCGTGTACAACTGGGCTAAGAACAAAGTTACACCACAGACCAATTTAAGAAGAGTTATCGCACCATTCTTATCTAAAATTCGATTCCTTTCCATGGGAAAAGAATGTTTTGAACGTGACATTTTTGACGTTGCAAAGGGAAAAGTCTTAACCGACGAAGAAATCGAAGCAATCAGAAATTATTTCTCGAGTGAATTCAAAGACAAATCTAAAATTCCAGCCAACCTCTGCACAGACGAATACGAGAGAGATTGTCGCTTCTATTACACTTTGTTTCATTATAACCATCGAATTCAAAGAAGATTTAGCGAATATTCCGAAGTCAATGCGCGAATGAAGTTTACTTGCGAGATTTCTGTAAAGGAAAACTGTTTTATTTACAGAATTCGTCTTCCCGTAATTCACTCCAAAGAAAAATGTATAAAGACCTACGTAAACGTAAATGTTGTCGGCGGTAAGAGGGAATTTATGAAGTATGTGGAATGCGACAGAGAAGGACAAGGGGTGTTGAGTTCTGTAATATTCCTGAGAAAAAATTCGGTGTGTCGACTCAACGCCAGGATCGACCGCAAAGAGTTAATTCCAGAAAACCAGTTACTAATTAAACCCGATAATTATTATTTCCTCCAAGAACATAAAAGTCCAACTGCTATAGAAGATGATGATGAACTAAGGCCTAGTTATCATTTCGAGGTCGATCTGTACTTTTAGAAGGCACAAAAATAATTTAAAATGATTTCAGCAAGAATAATTTCAATCGTTTAATTAACTAAGCTTTTAATTGAATTGATTTACTACTTTCGGAATTTCGCCTTATATTTAAGATAAAATATTGATTTATATCAAGTTTTTCTATTTGTTTCACTGGAATTAAATTTCCGATTACAAAATTTTAAAATGAAAAATAAACATAGATTCTACAACACAAACCTAAAGAAAAATGTACTAGTAAATAGCATCAAAATTCTAAATAAATATTATATTATTACATTATTTGCCTGTCATCTTCCGGACTTTGCATCATTAATAAATTATCAAAACACGATTGAAATACATAAGTCGTATTTCGTATGTATTACTCGTACATAATATACTCATATGTATTATTTCACAGTGACAATATAACGTTCTTAAGACCTTAACGACTTTTATCGGTCGAGCGTAAGATTAATGAGGAGTTTTTCGTCACCCGAGTCCTGCCAGTCATCTAATCCTGGGCATTGTGAATGAAACTTATGCCTAGTCAAATACAATACAGAACAATTCGTTTCGGATAAAATTCGCTCTATTTGAAAACTCAATTTGTTGTGTGTTTAAATAGTCTTTCACGTTACAGTAGCATGTTTTCAGTATTTAGGCTGCATTTTAAATAGATTGTAGACCTATAAGTTCCCACTTCCTGTCTGTCCTTCTTTAATCTCGAGAACAAAATAAAATAGATGAAAGACCAAACAAGACATGGAAAGAGTAACCTATATAGTTAATTGAAAGAAGTTAAATGATCGGCATGATTGTGTTGTCGTCTGAAACAGTATGATATATAGGGGCAAGACTCATTAATTTCAGGCAGAAAGCAAATAATTAATATTACGATTAAAAATTGCATTTCGGTTTTTACGACGAAACAATAAATAATTTAATAAAATAAAAATTTCAATACAAATACTAGTTGTATCTTGCTTGCTTGCCATGTTAAATCACCTGGAACAACCCGTTGTTCCAGGTGATACAACAAGATACAACTAGTATTTGTATTGAAATTTTTATTTTATTAAATTGTAATTTCTGCCAGCCCTTTTTTACAAAAAAATAAATAATTTCTCATTTTTCTTCATTTTTGACGTGTTTGGTTAAACAAGAAGTAAAACATAACATTAAATTTTTCCTTTAAATGGTTTTTATAAGTATAAAATAAAATTTAATTTAAAAATTAGATTTCTATTTTATTCAATTTTGATATAACAGCAACATGTAAATAAACAAATAATTTATCTGCAATCAAAATTTACAGAGAATAAAGAATTGATCATTGAGTTTTATGTATTTTCTGAATGATAATGTCATTCATTAATAATAATCTTTTTACTTTACCCAATTAAAAGATGTATAAATACGAAGATTAAAACATTTCAAATTAATTTTCCGAATACCCCAATACGTCGATTAATGAATCTTGTGTGTGATCCCGGGGACAATATTTTAACAAAGATGTGTTGTCCGACTCTATTTCGTAATCTTCTCCTTTCAAATATTCCACCACGTACGAATCCGCAAACCGTAAGATAGAGGAAAGGAAAATACTTTCGACGAACAGCAAACAGCAGTTGAAATGTCTGCTCAGATTCCTTTGCTCCACGTTGAATATCTTCCTTCTAAAATACGAAATAAATATTTTATAAAGTTAATTAAATTACATACTTAAAAATAAACAGATGAAATTCTCTTACCTCAGCAATCTGATTAATTCCAAAATCCACGAAGTTGTCGTAGCTACGATAATCAACAGAATTATTCTGTGGGTTTCGAGTGTATTGAATTCCTGAACGTACTTTGTTATTACAATCATTGAAATGACGAACAAGCTGACCGACGTGCTGAACATTACCTGGGGAGAAATACAGTAATGAGTTGCGTAACTCTTCTGGCGAAAAAAACTAAAAACCCTCGATATAGGTAGGACATATGATTTCCCGTCTATCTCTCCTTCCCCTTCACCTTTAACTACCAAAATTTAAAAGGATCGATCCCCTATAGTGCAAATCTTCCAGCAAAATTTCAAAAATTTTCGACAATAGTTAAGCTTCTATGAGGATGAATAAAATAAGACCCTCCCCACACACTATCATTTTAGTGTACGGAATTTTTCCAACCTATTATTAAGTTTGCGATAAACAGTGATGTCAGTACCTGTCAGATGTAACTGCTTCCGAAACATTGTATCAAATGTAAATATTGAACTCCGCAATGGCTAACGTTAATATTTTCTTACAGTTCGAAACCGTGGGTTTTATCTATATTTTTATTAATATTTTCATTTGGTCATTCTTTACATACGTGCACTGTCATGGCCACACAGTGGCGACCCACGTTATAACCTAACCTATTCTAATAAATTACCAATATATTAGTCCACGTAAGTAAAGATTAACCTTTCATTTTTAAAGTTGCTGTATTTACGTAATTAATAATATAATATAAACGCTCATTTTATCTCGAGGACAGATAATTCTCTCTGTGTTGTTCATTAAATTATTTAATGAACAACACAGTTATCAGTACAATGATAATGTCTTCCTTATATTGAACAACATTATTAAAATACACTAAACGTGGAAACGCGTAAAAGGAAAGTTGATTTTAACAATGCAGATAAAAGCGAAACTCTCAGATAAAAATATGGGTGATGAGACAAGGGATTATGCAAATTAATGCCTATAAAATTTTGCAAATACTTTACCTTAGTTTCTCATTTTTTTTAAAAATAAATGAAATAATAATCATCATTAATTTTGAGATTAAATAAATAATAATTGTGTTTAAATAATCATAAATTGTTATATTTTGCATGTTTGTTTTGCTAGAATAACTTAAAATACTTCTACATTTCTTTTTAAATTTCAGTCCAATAAATGTATTTAAATTCTAATTTATGTCTATCAGGGGCATCGATGGAACATTGTAATGTTTTTCCTTCGATACTTTAATGCTTCTTGAATCTTAAATTAACGAAAGAAGAAGAAGAATGTATATTTTTCCAATTAAATTCTTAATAATTCACTAAGATGATATTTAAATTTATTGTTGTTTTTACTTTACTTTTAATTAATAAGTTATAATTAATTTTGGTTTGCATTTAAACTTCTTATATATTTATAAAATGTTTATTTCAAGTTTTATCTAAGTAAAATTTCTGCTCTTTCAGCAGGGTTTTATTTATGTCCCTGATCACTTAATTATTTTATTTCTAAGTAGAAATATGTTGAAACCGGTTACTTTGTACTTCAATATTTGTAATATTGGGAAAGAAGTGGAAAGACAATCGTATATTTAAGGAAAATAAATTCTTTGTACTTTGTGCGAGATTAAATTTACTTGTAAATGATGCTACCAAAGTAAAAACGTTTTTAAAAACAAGACAATTTAATATTTTAAAATTATATGTAAATGCACCATCTTGCCCCACTTGTGGGATAAGGTGGAAACATTATTTTTATATACAAGAAGCACAAATTAAAGCGGTTAAACTGTCGTTTTCTTCAATATTGGCACAAAAACAGTGCGCCCATTTATCACAACGGCTACGTTTAGCTCAACTCTCTGTAGATACAGAGTATAATTCTCCACAATAGAGGCATTCTGTGTCATTTGTCTTTTGTTTTTTGTCAGGCCTACCATCGCCGAAGGGGCCTGTTTGTCGTGTCTGCAGCAATAAAGTCTGTTTCCGAAAATCTGGATTCATCGGCCATATTCATGGCTAGTCGGGTACCCCATCTTGCCCTCAACGTACCCTTTTCGTACTGACTGCAAACACAGGTAAACTTCATTTCAAAACTAAACAATTACAGTCTTAAAGGTTACTTCGAATACCATAATATTCGAATAATCTTCTTCTGAAGGGTAATGTAAAAGTTCACAATGATACTTACTTTGTAGAAACTTTTTAGCAGGCGTAAAATTAGATGAAGTATTGCTGAAACATGAAAAATGTACATTACTTTCAAATAAAGAGTGCGATTTGGACGTTCTCTCGCTCCATGATCCCTTTCGAAGTAGACATTTAGTTCCTCAAATAACAGCTAGATAAAAGCTCATTAACCACAAATAAACAGACGTCCCCGTCTTACCCCACGACCCCATCTTGCACCACCTTCCCCTATATATATGACGCTGCAGAGATTTTTGTCAGCTGAACTCCTCGTAGATTTCTTGGCGAGTTTGAACGAGTTAAGTGTTGATAGATAGGGATGGGTCTTCAGATGTGCAATAAACCTTTTGTTTTGGATCCGGAACGAAAATCGGATCGTATTAAAGAGATGAATTACGAGATCTGAAATATAACGTCATTGTTGTATGTCGTGACGGCTCCAAACTCCAATATATTAGCACCCCAGATGCAAGTTTCAGCCAATTTTTCCTATACAAAAACTTTGGAACTAAACTTTTTATTTAGAAAATTAAAATTTCATGCTCAAAAGTATGCACGTCAAATTTGATTTCTTTTAACTGTCTGTCCCGTGAGACGAACTCGTGCAAAGATCCGTCAAAATCACTCTTGTGAAAATCCGACTCTTTTAAGAGAATTTTTATTAAATACGTAACAAGTTATATTTCTTTCATCATCGTTTCCGTTATTTCTCCCATTCTCACCCCGTTGTCTAAGGAATAGACCCGAATAATGAACTGCGTAATTCGTCTGTCGAGAAGGTCATCCCTAGGACGAAGTCGTCCGAGGCGACCGCGGAAGAACTCCCCTCTCCCCAGGACGTTTGTTTGTTTTTACTAATTTGGTCACACCGCAGACTCCTTGTAAAAGAGTAGTCTCCTGCGGGTGTCCGGTGGACGGAGAGACGGATGGGTGTTCCTGTATAGAGGGTAGACAAGAGGTCACCTACAAGGGCACCCTTACGGTGAGAACATTACCAAAAATGGTCAGTCATCTCCCCAGGTGATGACGAATTTAACATTAATTGGTCAAGTGATGTCTGCATTGTCGTCACCCATGACGGGGGAGACTGTCATAAATCGGGAGAAGTGACAGNTCCCCAGGTGATGACGAATTTAACATTAATTGGTCAAGCGAAGTCTGCATTGTCGTCACCCATGACGGGGGAGACTGTCATAAATCGGGAGAAGTGACAGTTTGCGTCAGAAGAATCCCCGAGATTTCCCACGCTAAAAAAGTATAAAAGGGGAATGAACGGAGATCTCGAGGCGATCATCGAAGGATGCGATCATCGGAGGGAGAAGACTACAAGCGTCTACTCAGGAAGGTCTTCAAGGTTTCTGATCGCCGACCTAAAGAGGTAAATACTTAGATTGTTTTTACTTCACTCTCTCTCGGTATACTCGGACTTGGAAAATATTGTCTCTCGGTATACTCGGACTTGGAAAATATTGTCTCTCGGTATACTCGGACTTGGAAAATATTGTCTCTCGGTATACTCGGACTTGGAAAATATTGTCTCTCGGTATACTCGGACTTGGAAAATATTGTCTCTCGGTATACTCGGACTTGGAAAATATTGTCTCTCGGTATACTCGGACTTGGAAAATATTGTCTCTCGGTATACTCGGACTTGGAAAATATTGTCTCTCGGTATACTCGGACTTGGAAAATATTGTCTCTCGGTATACTCGGACTTGGAAAATATTGTCTCTCGGTATACTCGGACTTGGAAAATATTGTCTCTCGGTATACTCGGACTTGGAAAATATTGTCTCTCGGTATACTCGGACTTGGAAAATATTGTCTCTCGGTATACTCGGACTTGGAAAATATTGTCTCTCGGTATACTCGGACTTGGAAAATATTGTCTCTCGGTATACTCGGACTTGGAAAATATTGTCTCTCGGTATACTCGGACTTGGAAAATATTGTCTCTCGGTATACTCGGACTTGGAAAATATTGTCTCTCGGTATACTCGGGATTTAGAAATTTGTCGTTTACCGATATACTCGGAACTTTGAATTTATTTATCTGTTCCTTTGGATAGGACTTAGAATTATTTTGTGTCGAAGACCTTTGGTGGTCTCACTTACGGGATAGACGGACATCGGTTGTTCGATATTGTCGCGACTCGGAATTTATTATGATTATCACTTTCATATTGTTTAGAATTAATGTGTAATTTTAATGTATTTGTATTTATATTTAAGTTTATATTAAATATGTTATTCCTAATTTAATGACTGTTGATAAGTACTACCGACATCTCATCACTACTTCGTTACACCTCCCACTCCTTTGCCCTCCTATAGCCACTCTCTGACAGCCGAGCCGGTAAGTGGGGAGAAACTTTTGCTTTATCCCCTCGGTTCGCATGTATTGGTGTCATCCGACAAAACAAGCCATCCGACAACTGAGAGCGGGTCTGCCAGGCCCGTGCAGATTAAGCGGTCATTAAGATTCAACCCAGTGACCCCCTGCTACTCACACTCTGTTTAGAAATAGACAGACACGGAAATGACGAAATTGGCCGCTAAGTTCACATTTTTAACATTAAACTCATTTCCTTCGGAGGATTCGCATCTTTCCATTGTTAAAGCAAAATAAAAATTAATAAATCTGTTATTCCCCGCTATTGTTAATAAATTACATACGTATATATATTAATATAGCATACGAATCTTAATTAATTCAAATAATTCCTCTATTTTCGCAGTTGTTTTGTGTCAACAGAATAGTACAATTTTTATTAACTAATTCCTCTATCGAACATTAAAAATCGTCGAAAAGATTCAAATTATTATATATAATAATATTCTTTCCTAACAGGAATTAATCATTTTTGCATTAGAAATTTACAATTTACATTAGAATAGGAATATTTCTCAATTAATCCTCTCATTTTCCTTTGCAGAATGGAGAATTTCAGAGAGTTGAAGAAGTTGCGCATCTCGGACAATGCAGTGTCCGAGGATGGCGCCTGGTCTTGGCCAAGTGTCATAAGGGTGCTTCCGAAAGATGCGCAGGAGAAGTGTCATACACCGGACGTCAAACGGGTGGTGGTCGTAACTCCGGACGACACCGCCTCGTCTCTCGTCCAATATCTGGAGGAGCGATATCCGGAGGTTCCGGAATGGACGGTGCAGACATCGTCGGGTGAGACCGGAGTGGACAGAAAGGAGTCCGAAGAGTCCGTCGAGCGTAAAAGGCCTTGGTGGAAAAGGTTGTTTTGCTGCTGGAAGACATAAACCTCTTCTCTTGCCAGGCCTTCTTGCGCAGATTTCGACTTTTCACCGTATGTAACATCGCCATTCGGAAGTGACCTTTTACCCGAATATGACACTCACCAGGAATTGATCTTTCACCCGGCAACGACTTAATCGACTGGACTTGACTTTTCATCCCAATTTACGGACGGATTCTTCGACACCATTCGAGATTCGGTTAAAGAGTGACATCAAGCAATGTTCTCGTGTTTAACTAAAGTCTGTTTAAACGACTATAACTGGCCAAAACGACTTATATTCTACACACGTTTACACTGTATTTCATCCGCTAAAAACTTTCGCCGCGAAATAACGAATATTCGCCACTAAAAGGCATACCAGACGAATTGAAATAAAGCAAAAAATACACGTAGCCTACTTTGTGTACTCCACAATCGTAATTACTTCAAT